TCTAATGAAGCTGCATTTATTCTTCTCTCACGGCCTGGGTGCGTGGCCATGACTGGAAGCTCACGCTGAGGAGGAAAGTTTAAGCACCGAATGACGCATTGCAGGTTACCGATGAATCTGTATTCGTACCTGCATTCTCCACACCATACAACTCTCACTCTGACACGAAAACACCACACACGCAGACATAAAAAGAGCCTGCTTTTAACAGCAGGGTCCTCATCCTGAAAAAAAATGATGTACATCCAGGATCGGGGCGACCTGCGGCAAAATTCAGCACATTGATTACATCACGCGAGAAGGGGCCCCGGTTTCTGTTTAGTGCAGGAGTCCCCCATGAATTTTGCTGCAACGTGTGGAAATAACTGACCCCCGGAGGATATCCCCCAACCTTCTGAGAAAACGGCATCGCCAATAGCCGGGTTTGCAGAGTAAAAGCGACAAGGCCACTGCGTGCCGCTGCCGCGTCCCCGTTTTGGGGGTGAAACGCAGCATTTCGGCTCTCCACCGAGGGAAGGGGCTGGGCGGGCGCCAAGGGGCGAGCTGCCGGCGCCACTCACCTGCCGGTAACAGAGGCGGAAAGGCCGCAGGTAGAGGGAGGAGGTGCAGGGTTTGAGCGCCAGCTCCTCGATGGCCTCCATCCCTGCTGGGGCTGTCTCTTAATACACATGACGAGTTAAAAACGGTCAAGCAAGATTTTACAGTTTTAACTACATGTGTCCAATATGGGGCGATATTTGAGCTGTTCCACTTCATTAATCACTTTCTGGGTTTTCCCTAAAGGCTTCTGAGCAGCAGGTCCCTGAATTTCTGAGTGAAGCCTCTTCATCTAGCTACGCTTCGTGAGGGGCACCAGCCTTTGATTGTTGTGGCCTATCTACATTTTTTTCCCTTTTTTGTTTTTAATTTCAAGAAAGCACTCAACCCTCTCATAACAGAGGGTGCATAGGCACAGCAGAGAGACAAGTTTGCTATGCAGGCTTCCACCAAAACAAAGATTATTAGGAAAGAAGAGGTTCTTTAAAAGGAAAATTACCCGGGCAATGGGACTGGGATTGATGTACTGACCACAAACAAGCTGGAGAGTCCAACCTACACTACATGTGAATTTGTAGTAGGCTGGGCTGGAGAAGGATCCCTTGAACAGCTTCATACAAATTTAAAAAAAAAAAAAAA